CCTTTATGTGAGACAGAAGTGAATGCTAAGGTTTGTGGAACAGAAAATAAAATTCTTATACTGTTTAAAGCTTGCCTTTATTGATCAAGAAAAATTACAGTGAAATTCACCACATCCCTGTGAGCTGGGTGCTTATGTGGTTCTCAAGAGAGATTCCAGTACAGTTCTGCTGATTAGCAGAGCTCCCACAGCTAAGTTTGTTTCTACTGGTGATCCACTTGCACATGTCTTGTGGCACATAAAAAAAAATATTCTGCACATGAATGGAAAAAATCTGCACACAGATGGAAGAGATTAGAGGGAACATGGACCACAGTGCCCATGTTTGCTGGTAAGGGAGGATTTTGGAGAGGCTAAAACCTCACAACTGTGTGTAGGTCCAGCTATCATAGTCAAAGTTGTGAGCTGGGGAGGGACACAGAGGAAACTGAGGATTCCCAGAGAGTGAAAAGGGATATGTGGGCATAGGGAAAGGTTGCTGGACAAAGAATTGTGTGTGCGCTTCAGGGGAGGTTGAGCCTGGATCTGCTCTCTCGACACCTTGATTAAAGAGTTTAGCATCTTATTTGCTCCTCCATGGTCATGTGCTCAGTGGCATCTTTCTTCACCTGTATGTCTGGTATCCATCGCAACTCTCACTTCTTTGACTGTATGGAGGAGTGTTTGATTATCTCCCTCACTAAGTGCTCTGTGTTGTGTTTGGGCCTTTAAAAAAAAATCTGCTGTAGCTTGTCTGTTGGGATAGGTCCAAAGGATCTCAAGATCTCTGCTGTGAAACATAATGCACAAAAGAGGGTTTGTTAAATTCCAGTTCAACATTGAAACATTTCACTTACCAGCACCTTTTGCAATATAGCCTGTCACTTTCCCAGCAATCCTTGCAAGCACTGTAAATATGGTGAGTGTGGGACCGGGGGATGATGGGTATATATAGAGACAATAGGAAATGCACTGGTGACTTGTGGAGTACAGGTGTGAAAGTTTAACTAGTTAAATGGTGAGTATTACACTTAACTGGCGATGCTTACTGGTTCCCGTTAACTGGTGGGGGCCAGAGCAGCTCCTCACTTGCCATGGGCAGAGGGCTGCTGCAGCCCTGTGGGGGACCTGCTGTGGACAGGGGCCACTCCAACCTAGCCACAACAGGTGGGGGGAGCACTGCAGCCCAGTTGTGCTCCAGCAGCTTCCACATCCTTTTTAATTGGTTAACTGGTTATGGTCAACCAATTAAACGGGATTTTACATCCCTATTGTGGAGCAGCTTTAAAGGTGTTGATTATGCTACACATCTCCAAAGGCAGCTGTCACTCTGGCAGACATCTCATTGCTGAAGATAAGGAAGGAAACCAGGACTCAAATATTTAATACTAGTGGTTTTCACCCTGCTCCATATACAGTGCCACCTATGTGCCACTTTGGTCCCTGCACCAGGGACTGCAGAAGGGCATGGAACAGTATCCCATAATGGGGGGAGGGAGGGAGGAACAAATACAGCAGCTGCACTGCCTTGGAACCTGTGGCAAAGGATTGAGAAGTACCTTCATCAAAAATTCCAGAGCATCTCTCTGCAGGATTCCACTGAGATCTCGGTGTGCATAAAGCCCTGCTTGTTGATAATGTCTAGCTTCACAGGGCTACACATAGCTCACCGAAACACAGCCAGCCTCCTACTTTTTCTGTGCCCTACATCCATCTCTGCACTCCCCAAGCCACAACTACTTACCCTGCCCTGCGTCTCATCTGCTTTCCTCTTCCCCCGGAGCAGCTGCTATGACTGACTATGCACTTCAGGAGCAGAGAAGTTCCTGACTGCCTGCCCTACCAGGCAACTCTACTGTGAGCCCCAGATCCTCATCGGACTGTACCTCTTTGTCTATTACTTCAGCCTCTGAGTTAGGTCCTGCTTGTGTTGATTCCCTGCCCTGTGAAGTATCTCTGGGGTTCTTGGTGGTGGAGGTGGAATCATTGCTGAGGATAGTATCCAGCTCTTTATAAAACTGGACAGCTCTTGGGTGCAGCACCAGAGCATCAGTTTACCTCCCTTATCTTATGGTATGTCTGCTTCAGCTCCTTTATCTTTGCTCTGCATTGCAGTGTATACAGCTCATAGCCCTTTTCACACAATCTTTGTGAAATTTCATGAGCCAGCCAACAGGATGAGTGGGCAAGGGGGATGGGCGGATTGCTGAGTATCTCCCTGCAGGGCAGTGGAGTTCAAAGTGCTGACTAGAGCAGCTGCACAGGGCATCGTGGGAAACTTCCTGGAGGGTAATAAACATGATAAAAAGCTTCATCGTGTCCACACTGCATGTTTGCTGACGGTAAAGGGATGGGGAAAGAAAAAAGTCCCTCATATAGGTGGAAGTGTTTTGGTGCCAAAACTGGGCATTTTTTGCGACAAGAGTCATGTTGTGTGCATGCTCTTGCAGTTTTGTCATCAAAAGGCAGTTTTTGATGACAAAACTTAGCAGTGTAGACATTCTGTAGTGTATAAGTAGCATTAAACTATAGAGACATTTACACAGTTTTCAGCACAATAACATTCCAAGTGTCAACAGAAAGTAGAATTACCTTCACTAACAGTGCTTAGCACATGATTTATATTTGGCATGCCTCAACAGAGCATGTTGCTTGCTTCTGACAGATTCTGCACACACATACAACAAAGGTTATAATACTTGTACTGTGTTTCCATAATAAAGCTTGGTATAAGTACTCAGGTATTCTGGAAGTATTGTTAATAGTTATTCAACTTGGCCTAAATACAAAGCATTCTGATAAAATATGATATTGGTTAACAGCAAGCCATTCCTGAATCTGTCTTTGGCACTCTAATGTGGATTAGGAATATCTATCATGTGTAAATTGTGGGAGGAGAGGGGGTGGGTCACTGTGAGTACCTTGTGTCCAAGGATATTGTTTTATTTGATGGATAAAAGTTAAATCAGAATACTGATAATTTGTAAACTATATACCCTGTGTTGGAAAAAAAAGAGATCTGAAAAACCCGATCTTTGGATAAACCCATCTCTGGCTAAGTACCTAGAGCCAAAGTCTGTGAAAGTGCTAAAACATCTTTGACAGTGGTTGTTTCTTCTGTCGATGTAGAGAGAATATTTTTTATATCAGGTTATTAAACTATTTCAGTTTAATAACTAGTTCATTCAAAGTTAAGAAACCACTAGGAGTTCAAAAAGCAGAACATTTCTTTCTACTTCCAGTCCATGAATCTCATTGGTAGTTATTTGCACTATAAAATTTAGATTTGGCTTAACCAAAACTGTTTACAAATTTGAGTTGAATTTAGAAAATAATTTCAGATGAAGAAAAAATGACAAAGATTTTTGAAATCTCAAAACATTTCTTTTTTTTATTTTCAGCAAGAAATTTCATTTAGGAATTTATCTACTTTTAATTTGAAGAAGTATTAAATGTCCTCCTGCCCCTGAAAACAAAATAACATAAAAAACCAGGGGAAAATGTTTTGGATCAGTGTGAAGTGTTTAATTTGACCCAAAAATAATTTTTTTTTTTTTTTTTTTTTTTGTAGAAGAAAGATGTATTTTTGTTTTCTGTTAATCTGAAACAGATGTTTTTGGAATTTTTTTTTCAGGTTAACGACGAGACTAGAAAATTGTTTATATAGGTAGGCCTATTGAAAACTAGGGGTGTAAGGATGAGATGTACTAAGTCTAAAATGTTGGAAGGACAGGGTGACCAAAACAAATCAGTTCAATTTGCTAATTAGATAATACTTGCTTTGTTTAATACATTATTAGTCTTAAAAGCAAAATTTACACAATTTTCCTATTTAATCAAACTTTTAAAAAATATGCTTTTAAAAGCATTTTAATTGAATACTAATTTCCATCCAAATAGAGCATGATGAAAATCATGAGTAAAAATGTCAAGCTAATAAATCAGAAATGCTTCATTCACCATTTTTTAATGAAATAAAAAGGTCAAAATTAAGTCCTGCTCCATTATCCTGCTGGGAGATGGCAGCAGAGCGGATATGTTGCTCTGCTCTCTGTGGCGGCTACAGGGGGCATGACTTCTACTGCTGCCCCACTCCAGGCTCCCTATAATCTCCCAGGCTGCACTGGGACCTGTGGCTTTATCTCAGTATGGGGGAGACTGTCTTGACCATATGACATTTGAGGCTGCTGCTGTGGGGTTTAAAAAAAAGTGTATGACCTGTAGCAGCCATCCTGAATCATCCTTTGGATGAGAAAGCTCTGGTGCCAGGGATTCCACGCAACCCATCCACTGCCTTCACTCGTGCCAGCGCTGTGTGCTCCTCCACTCTCCATTCACTGCATACCAGGAAAATCTGTGCATTCTCTCTCCCCTGCCCATACCATTGCTTCTAGCTCTCCTCAGCTTTCCAATGGCTCTTTCTGTCACTCATGCCAAGGTTCCCCATTCTCCCTGTACAAAGGGGTTCTATGCATTCTTTTTTTACCTCTCTGTGAGCCCTCATACCTCCATTCACTCCTTCCACATGATGGCAGGGACTCTGTTCTGCATGTCTTCCTCTCCCTTTGCTCCCTGTTCTTTCCTCATACCAGGAGCCCCCGTTTTCCCCCATACCTTGGTTTCCTCTTCTTCCCCACCATTTTTGCTTCTTTTCTGTATGGGAGACAAACTATTCAAGATGACAGTATATTTAAGTTGTATTGGGACCACAGGCAGAACAAGCTTATGCTTGGAAGATATTAATGGCTGCCATCAATTTTGGTTGAAGTTTGTGGATCTGCTAGTAGGATAAAGGGGATTGTGTCTTCTGTTTTTTCCATCTGAATTTCTGGTTTTCACCAAAATCAGTAGGATTCTGCATAGAACATTCCCTGAAAGTTATATGCCATACAGCTGAGTGTGAGACCTTGTTCATCTAGCTTGTTGTGGTCTATATTGAATATTTTGTATGAATTATTTGGAAACATTCTTTTGCAAGCACATTTGTTATGGAATATAACTAATGAAAATTATTTTTGTAGGTGCAATGGATGAGCTTCATAGCCTGGACCCAAGAAGGCAAGAATTGTTAGAGGCCAGATTTACAGGAGTAGTGAGTGGCAGCACTGGGAGTACTGGAAGTTGCAGTGTTGGAGCTAAAGTAAGTAGAATTGGATGGCTAGTTAAAGTGAAATTTCAATTTAATGTAAGAAAATATACTATATATAAAACACACCATATAGGACGATGAGTGTCATCAGAAAATTCTATAGCCTGTCTGGTCTAGGTTGTCATGATTTATTTTCCAGCTTAGTCTTTTTCAGAATAAAACAATGGCTTATCGGTTCCATGTTACACTTACTTTAAAGGTTTCTATTGGTGTGATGTGCATGAGTCACTGTGAAAATGGAATATATGACTCCTCTAGGACTGCTTTCATTTTGGAAGAGAGACTGGAGGGATATTCCTTTACACCCATTCTTCCCCCACACCCTCATTTTTCCAATCTGGAACCAGCAAGAGACAGAGGAGAGTTGTACCTAAGAACATCTGTGTTTCCTGTCCAAGCAATTTGTTGACATTCTAGAAGTTTTTTCTTCTCTTGGTGGACAGGCATATGAAAGTTCCCCTTATTTCCAGGGAAGAACAGATATGAAAAGGTTCTCTATCTAACCTGCTGCAAAACAGTTATTAGAAGCTTGCAGATTATGAGATGAAAACTATAGTAAGCTCTTAAAATGAGTGCTCCTGATCGCTATCTGTGTCCAAATGTTCAAATATCAGAGGAATACTGGATATGACATGAGAGAGAACTACGTAAAGATATTCCTAGTAAACAAAAAAGTATTCTCGAGAAAAGCCTACAAATTCTATTTATTTCAATAGGAATGTTAATTCTGGAGTCCTCATCTAGTCTGAGGTCAGTCTCATTCTGCAGACTGGCTTAATAAAAGAATTTGATGCTTTGTTGTCTGCAAGATGAGTACTTGCTGTGGCAGGAGTTGTAATTTGTCTCATAATATTTCTGCACAGCCCTGCTTTGGGGTATTGGATTTGTGGAAGAAAAGAGAATAATCCAGCCATCAAGGAGGTAGAAAATAAGCAGCCCAACAGATTTAACTTAAATCAAAGCATAGGGCAAGCTTTACCACTAAAAGTGTTTTTTTGCCATTCTTTGTCAAATGGATCTCTGAGTAGATATAATCCAGACTATAGAAAAGTCCTCTTTTACATCTCAAATTGCATGACTTTATACATTTTATAACTCAAGGGTATTTTATGGTTTAACTTCTTATTTTTTCTCTGTAGTCTGACCTTTTTATATAGGGAAAATTTTTCTGTGTAAAGAATTTGGAAATACTGACAATTAATTTTATTTTCAGATAAGAGGGTTCTACCATTAGCTTGAAAGTCCACTTAGGTGAAATTTTTCTGCCACAGAAACATTACAGTCAAACCAAAACTTGAAGAGGGTAGATGATGGGGCTGAAACTTCAAGTATGGCAGATGTCCATGAAAGCCAAAAGTTAGCTGAGATCTTGAGAATCCTGACAATCAAATTTGTAACAAGAATGGATGTGTGGAATGTGTATACTTTGCATAGCCCAGGAAAGCTAGCATGGGTTATATGAGAAATGAAAAAAATCATCTGACCATACTTGATGCATGTGAGAGGAGATGGGCAAGGAGTGGCAAGATAATATGTGTGCTACAATTTTATCCTCAAGAGGAGGAATGTAGCAGGTGTAAGAAGTATGCTGGATAACTTCAGCAAAGATCCTGTTGGCTTGGAAACCAGTGAAAGACACAACAAAATTCAGGCTGTGAACAAGACACTTCTGTAATAAGGCATCATAGTGGAATTTTACACAACTTTGACTTTGCCAGTGATATTGCTTTACTAAGGATCATATGGAACTGAATGGTTGCTCTTATATCAGAGATAGAATAGGAAGCAGCAAAAATTGAATTGAAATTAAAAAAAACCAAGATCATGAAGGTAGGAAGCCGGACAACAGGTTCAAAAGCGGAAGTGGATGGAAAAGAAACTGAAAAGGTAGAAGAGTTCTGCTATTTGGGCAGTGTAGTAACATTTTTACAGTAAGAATATTCATATGTGCTTAGGAAAAGCAGACACTACTTTTAGAAAGATAAACATCTAGTCAAACAGAGGTCTCCAAACTAAGGGTGAAATTATATCATATAGTTGTACAGAGGACTATACAACATGGGGCAGAGAGTGGGCCAATAATAGTGACTAACAAAAAAGAGATTGGAGTTTGCTCATCACAGATAACTTTATGGATGACTGAGAGAGATTCTGTACATGTCACGGAAAGACAAAACAGGTATGAGGATAAGGGAACTGACAGAGCAGGACTTGTCAGAAAATATCAAAGAAAGAAGCCTCACGTGGTTGTGACTAGGGATGTAAGCAAGTAGTCAAGTACTCTGCTACCGAATAAGCCTGAGCTTATCCCCCCCACCCCTCTGCCTCTATATCAGAAGCAGCAAGGAGGAGGGGAATAGGAGCTGCTGCTGGTGGGAGCTGGCTTAAAAGCCGGTTGACCCAGCACTATCTCCGTGGTGCTGCCTCTTCCTTCCCCCTGCCCCCGCTTCTATTAGAGGTAGCAGCGGGGCAGGGGATAAGGGAGGCTGCTGCGAAGCAGCCACTGTCTGCGATGGCTCAGCTAGCCATGAGCAGAGGCTGCTCTTCAGCAACCCCAGTCAGAGGCTAGCCCGGGCCTATGTGAACAGAGGCTGCTGCTCCTGCCAGAAGCCGGGATCGAGCAGTCCCAGCTCGTGCCAGTCTGGGATCATTGTGCCTCTGCATTTTAAATGAAGTGAGAGCTTTCTGCCTTTTACTACATTTAAAATGCAGAGCTGCAGTGCTCCCAGCTCTGTCTCAGCTCGAGCTGGTCCGGGACCTACTCCCGCTGCATCTCTGCAGTTTAAGTGTAGGAGGAGCCGGGTTGCCTGTGCACCCATCTCTTACGACATTTAAACTGCAGAGCCGCAGCAGAGGTAGCTTCTGCATCAGCGCAAGCCGAGACAGAGTACCTTCCCTTATCGACTAATCGTGTAGGCAATACTACTAATTATATTGCCTACACAATTAGTCAGTTACTTGCCACTTAACATCCGTGGTTGTGAAGTGTGCACTACATTTAAAATGGGAGACCTGGTAAGCAAGTGTTGAATTGAATAAAGGGGAGAGAAAAAAGAAAATAAACAATCAGGGAAGAACTAAGTATAAAACAGAGATCTAGGATATTGAATGCACTGGCAATCACCTAGGAAAAAGTACTAGGACTAGTGAGAGGCCATAATCAGTAGAGGAACTTAACTGTCTGATATGTCAGTGGCACTGGAAGAACTAAGATGTAGGGTAAGATAAGATTTCTAATGTTATGTGGCTATTAGATAGCTACATACGGTGTTTCATCCTCTCAGAATCCTAATCTCAGACAAGACGACTACATTCCTTACAAAAAGAAAACATTATGGCTCTTCTCAAATCTACTAGCATTAGTGGGCATATAAATGAATCCTGGAGTCAGAGCTTTCAAGAAGCATCTTTCAGATACTTTACTGATCTGAAATAAGTCTGGAGGAATGTGGTTCATTCTAGGGGATTTACTACTTTTTTTTTTTTTGTAAAGGAAAGCTCTTTAAAATGATAACTTGATTTTGTATCTGAAACATTTCTTGGGCCATGGCTACACTATCACTTATATTGACAAAACTTATCTCACTTAGGCATATGGAAAGAACCAAACCACAACTGACACAGATTTTGCTCGCATAAGTGATAGTGTGCACAGAGCTTCTCCCATAGATAGAGCCAACACTGCTTGTTGAGGGTGATTCAGTTATGTTAACAGGAGAGCTCTCTCCAGTTAGCATAGAGCAGCTACATGAGAGATCTTACAGCAGTGCAGCTTCATTGGTACAGCTGTGCCGCTGCAAGCTCTCTAGTGTAGGCACGTCCTCATTCTTAATCTTTTAATCATGTAAATGGTTTCTTATGATAATTACATTTGGTTTGATTGTTTTATGAGTTAGTGGTCTATCCTGTAAATTGTTTACTCATTCTTTTAAGAGAGGATAAGTACGGTTGTTTCCTTTCCAATTTTGTTAGCAAACTGCATTGTTTAGAATAATTTTTAGTAACAACTAGGGAGCTGTGCCCCCTGCTTGCTGCACTTGCCAAACCCCCTCTCATGAGGGGTAGGCGACCCTGGCTTCCCACCCCCCCCAGCCTGGGCTTCTCCTTTCCTCCCTGACTGCAGTGCACTCCAGGCTCAGCTCTGAACTCCGTGGCTAGGGCAGTGCAGCGGTGCTTGCCCGCCCTGCGTGGGCCTCAGTGAGGTGTAGGTAGTGCCATGTGCACGTGGTGCTCTGGGGCAGTGCAGCCTGCTGAGGTGGGGAAAGCATCAGTGTAGGATGCTGCTGTTCCGCCCTCTCCCTCATGCAGTCCCGCCTGCGTTGCTCACTGCCAAGCCCTGCCCGCAGTGCACAGGGCCGCCCGTCTGCTGGGAGCAGAAGGGAAGGAGCAGACAAATCAGTGCGGTAGCTCCTCTGGGCGGCTTTGGGGTGCTCTGGCAGCCACGGTAAGTGCAACCACTGGGGAGGGGGTGAATCTCCGCAGGGGTAGCTAGACCCTGGACAGTCGGGCACCATGGTCCAGCTCCCCAAGAGTTTGGCAGCGGGGCAGCCCCAAGAGCCCACTGCTGGCACGTAAGCCCAGCTGGGAGCCCTGCGCCTAGTGCCTGTGCCCGGCTGTTGTCCCAAGCACTGCACCCTTCCCCCCCTAGCCTGTGGGCTGTCACAGCTGCAACATGGGGTCTGCTGGCTACTGTGCCATGTTTCTTTGCATTGAAAACCCTGTGAGATGGGCATGGAGGAAGGGGAGTAGGGGCTTGAAGTGGCGAGGGGAAGCATCAAGGTTGGGCTCGAGCTGGGAGAGGAGAGAGAGGGAGGAAGCAGGTGGGATACAGTGATATGATGACATCACTTTGTCGTCCTGCAGGGAAAACTTTTTTTTTAATATATAGAGAGATTAAGAATATAGAATTTACTATTTGCTGGAGCAGACTATTTGTCAGTCAAATTTGGTATTCTGCTTACAAGTCATATAATCTCTACAGTTGATCTTTGTCTTGAAGTCTGAAATTTAATTATCCTTACTTTGCATAGTTGCAAATCCTGCAATTTATTAGCTGTTTTTATAACATAGTAAGTGATGTATTTTTTTTTCCAATAGGCCTCAACAAATAATGAAAGTTCTAATCACAGTTTTGGAAGCTTGGGATCTCTAAGTGATAAAGAATCAGAGGTATGTATGGTTATAAACTTAATTACAAATACAATATTGTTATTGCAAACAAGACACTATTTTAATATGTTTTATTGTAGCTGACACTTTTATATTTAAGCTTCTTAAAGAAAATAGTATTTTTTGTATACAATAAGATTAAAATCTAGCATAGAATGTTCATGTAGTGGTAAAAGCTAAAATTTGTTACACATTTGGGCTCAACTACTATTCTTTAAGATGGAGATATTTATGGTAAGAATTCATCTAAGTGCTGTCATTGAGTGTACTGCTTATAGTTCCCTCCTGCAATTGGCCTAAGCACAGCAGACACACTTGTCTCAATTTCCCCTTTTGTAGTCTGAACAATAGTCCGAACAGTCTTCCAAAGTATAAATATAGCCCAAGGAGTACTTTTTATTATAGAGGTTCAATGTACATAAACCATAATACAAACAGTCTTACCATCAAGTTCTGTAGCTGTAGTCCTCTCTGTTAAGCAGAGCCCCAGCTCCCTCATCAGTTTCTTGACTATCTAGCTTAGCCACCTCCTCCTGTAGCTCTTCATCCTGCTTCCTGAGATCTTTTCCATCAGCAGACACTTTTCACTGGATGTCCTCCCTTCCTGATTTTCTGCGAGTGCGAAGTAAAGGTCTCAGTCTCTTGAAAACCACACCAGGATCTGGGTAGAAGCATCCATGGTCAGCTTGTCTGGATACGTGGAGACAACAGAAGCAAAGTTGGTACTGGTGATGCAGCCCTTCCTAACCATACTGGTTGTACTAGGACTCTGTCCTACCAGTGTCCTCTCAAACTCCTCTGTTTGCAGTCCCCTGGTCTCTTATTTCCCCCTGTTGGTCAGCCCTACCCCCTTGTTAATTACACAGGGAGAGGGTGCTCACAAAGTTGATTGAGGCTGAACAAAGATGATCAGGGGTTCAAAGATTCGAATGGTCCCCAGACACACAAACCCAACCGGCCCAGTAACTGAAATTACTGAAATAACCTGAAAGAGAAAGAAAAATGCAAATAGTAAAGCAAATTTACTCACCCTAAGGTTAGTTCTCACCTTATTTATTCAGCAGAGTGAATCTCCTTTTCCCCCCCTCAAACTCCTTGTAGTTCCCTGTTCCCTCTTCCTCATCCAATGTTTCGGTACCGGATAATGCTTAGAATTCTGGTCTTCACATTCTGTGTCTTCTACCTTTGATCCTCCTTGGTCAGACACAATCATTAGCAGGGCTCGACAAATTATGGAAAACCCTACTCGCCAGACAAAAATGGGACTCGCCACCCCCCCCCCCAGTGTTTTTTTAATGGCATAAGTTCCTAATAACAGTAATTACTAATAGATTATTAATAAATATCTTATAAACCTCTACCTTTTCCCTCTGCTTCCATGTCTCCTCCCCTTGTTCCATCATCTCCCCTGGTGCCTGCTGTCCCCCAACTCCTCACCCTCCTCTGCTGTCCTGACTCCTGCCCTTCTCACTGCCCTCAGCCTTCCTGAGACCTGCCCCCCTCCACCAGCCCTTCTCTCCCCCCTGTGCCCACTCCTCCAGTAGCCC